GGCGGCGTCACCGAGCCCCGGCACCTCCCGCCCACGCCCACGCCCATGCCCACGCCCACGAGGCTGCCTGCACTTCTCAGGAGGGCCTACTCTGAGCGGCTCTGGGCGTCCCTCGTGGGCGAGGAGGGGCAGGGCCAGAGCCCTTCACTGACGCACGTGGCAGGCTGCTCTGGACGCAGCGAGGTCTCCGTCCCTGGGCTACGTGCATGGAGAGGCCGGGTGTTGCCCAAGCGGCCACCTCTCTGACAAGGCAGGGAGGCCAGCCCGAAGGACCTCCTTTATCCCAAATTTGGCGGCAGGAATTCCCTGCAGAAGTCTGCCGGTCAAGGTGGGGGTCGCCTCTCCGAGCCTGGGGAGGTTGTGAATGTCCTGAACCAGCAGGGCAGGCCTCCCGCTTTGAAGGCTGGGCACACGCCGTGTGTCACTGACTTTCCTGGCATTTCCTAAAGTGCTTCGCCCAGGCTGCTGGTCAGAATTTGGAGGGCATCCCCTTTGCCCACCCCCGCCTAGAGAATTATCTGTGCTAAGCTCGGAAGCTAACCATCACATGGGCCTGGCTTCTGTGTGAAAGTGAGCACCAGCTTGGAAGCTCAGAAATCCTTCGGGAAGGCGGGCGGAGGCCCTCCCTGCGGGTCATCCTGGCGCACTGGCCGGGTCAGGCCTGCGCTGTGCCCTTGAGTCTCCTTGGCTCCCTGCCCACCTATGCTCTCTGGAGCATCTGAGCAGGCTTTCTCTTTCTTCCTGGACTCGGGGACAGAATTCACCCACCCTATGCTTATTTATTAGGTCTTGACTATGTGCTGACGTTGTGCCAGGTGCTGGGGTGGAGGACTGGGCACAGTGGGCATAAGCCCTCCCTCACTGCCTTCCGGGGAGCACAGGGGGCAAGGGCTGGGGTGCCCTGTACGTCCTGCCTCACGGGTGGCCTGGGCTACTTGCAGCCCAGGGGCCCCCAGCCCTCTACCCTGAGGTGTCCCCAGATCCCTACCTCTGGGAAGGGCTCCAGATCCTCTAATCACCCTTCCTAATCCCCAGCAAGTGCTCCCCTGCAGCGCATAGAGGGAAAGGGGCTGCACTGGGTGTATTCACGCTATGGCTGCATGACTCACGGCGCGGTTATGTTTCTGTATTCCATTTAAGACAGTGACTTAGGGACTTCCCTGGTGGTGCAGTGGTTAAGAATCCGCCTGCCATTGCAGGGGACACGGGTTCGAGCCCTGGTCTGGGAAGATCCCACATGCTGCGGAGCAACTAAGCCCGTGCGCCACAGCTACTGAGCCTGCGCTCTAGAGCCCGCGAGACACAACTACTGAGCCCGTGTGCCACAACCACTGAAGCCCGTGCGCCTAGAGGCCGTGCTCTGCAGCAAGAGAAGCCACCGCAGTGAGAAGCCCGTGTACCGCAACTAGAGAAAGCCCGCGTGCAGCAACGAAAACCCAACCTAACCAAAAATAAATAAATAAATAAATAAATATTTTAAAAAAGAAAAGAGAAAAAAAAAAAAGTCAGTAACTTAATAATGGTGGGTTAGGGCAACCAGTTCCCAAACAAGCTATGTATTAGACAGTGTGATAAGAAGTTAGCTCTTGCAATGATCCTGTGAAATAGGATTCCACAGCTGAGGAAACTGATTCTTAAGGAGACTGAGGAATTTACTCAAGGAAACAAGAGTGGTGGAGACGAGATTTGAACCCAGTTCTGTCTGGGCCCCAGCCTGTGACCCCATGCCCCTGATAATACAGACTCCCAATCTAGCTGGGTCTCTAATCCTAGTTCTAGTGGATAGAAGGTATTGCAGGTACAACTTAAGTTATATCAGAGGAAATACGTTCAGTATATAGTAAAGGAATCACAGTCTTGTAAAGATAAAAAAACAGTGCTCAGGTCATGATCTGGCCGTGGGTCATGGTTAATGTTAACTAACCAAGGTCTTACAAGCATTAGCCAGTTATAGTGAAGTTTCTGTTTTCAGCTGTCAAGAGGGTGCGGGCTCTCGTCACATCACAAGAGTGAAACAACGGTCAGCCTTGGTCACAGGTGAGTGGCCCAGACACAGTGGGCCATGCAGCCGGGTGCCCAGGTCGCCCTGACGGTAGCTGCCGGGGGGGCAGCAGCAAGGGCAGCCTGAACGCTGAGCGGAGGCGCTGCCCCTCATGGCGCCCTCCTCCCTTTCCTGTTACCTGATATATGGCACGCTTGAAGGAATGTGGAACTTGGCCCCTGGGTCAAAGTCGCCTTGAGACCTGGCCACTGGGGGACAGAGGCCCTGGTACTTCAGCCTGTTGAGGAGGAAGACACATTAGAGGGAGGGTTTGGGAAGAATCAAGCCAGGAGAGTTGGTGTTTTTGATTTGAAGTATGGCGCCTGCACTGGGTGCTCCAGACTCCTGCGTGCTGTGCCTCTGCGCATCACGGCACTTACACACACACACACCCCTGGATGCCACAGACGCAGACACACTGTGTGCACACAGATGCAGGTGCATACACCCCGCCATGGAGGCCCCCCCGGCCCACAGCAGCCTTCTAGAACCTGAGGCTCCACCACTCCTGGTTGTAGTTCTCCTTGGTGATGCTTCCGTCAAATACCCTCCAGCGCCACTGGTCCACAAGATAGCTGAAGGGAACAAAGGCGATCTTGTCGAGCGCCATCTTCATCAGAAAGTTGATGTCCTCCTCTGCCAAGGGAAGGGGGCCCTGGCATCAGATCCAGGCCTGCCTCCTAGCAGTGGGGCTGTGATGGGCGCGAGATGGGGGGAGCGGGCGGGGCGGGCTGTACCTCCTGGGTCCTGCGACCTGCCTCTTGGGATGCTACGGGTTTCATCCTCCCACTCTCCTTGCTGGTTGCCCCTCTTGTTCCCCACTGCTCTGTCCCAGCTCTGCCTGTGGGCTATGAAGTCTCCTCTCTCCACCTCCCAGGCTTGCTGCCCCTTCTTGGCCCCTCTGCCCACTAGGATCTCCCCGTTCCTCTCTCACCATAGCTGCCGTCCCCACTACTCAGCAGGTTGATCTTGTGCAGGTGCTTGGGGGTAGACACTGAGAGGGCCAGCACATCCCCAATGGCTTCGTGAAAACCGGGGTTGGCGCCCTCCCGGAAGGTCACCGGCAAGTCCTTGTACTGCATGAAATACTGTATGTGGCCCATTTCGTGGTGGGCCACCACCAGGTCCTCCATGTTCACAGTGGTGCACTGCTTGATCCTGGGAACACGGGGGTGGGGAGAGGGTGTGGAAGGGGGCAGTGAGGATCCCTGCGGCAAAGGGACCTGCTGTCCTTACTGGATGCAGAGCATACCCCCAGGACTGCTTTATGCGAGGAACACAGCATTATGGGAAGGAAAGCCAAAAGGGGAAATAGAGGGAATCTGGGGGTTAGAAGCCCCTAACGTCTGGTCCTCCAGACTATTCCTCTGCCCCCGACCTCCCTGAACAACGAACTCCAGCCCACACTGCCGTGTGGCTTTCTGACTGTACAAAGTGCTCTAGAGGCAGGGGGACCCTCAGTCACGGTCAGTGTAGGGCCTGGGTCATGTGAGTCATGTGGTTCCTCATTACATGTTTTGTCTCTCCCAAGACTTAGGCTTCCTGAAGGAAACAACAGTGTCTGAGCTCTTCTGCATCCCTTGTGCCCAATGCCAGCAAGCATATTCATCCCAGGATTTCTCAGGGCCAGGACTAGAGGGACATCTGCTGAGCAGTCCAAGCCAGAGGCTGCACCTCACTTTCCATCTTTTGTGAGCCAAAGAAATTCTCCCTTGGATCTAACCAGAGCTCTTCAGCTCAGTTGACCCCCTTTGTCTGTCATTCTAGGGGGAGGGGAAAGAGCTGCCCAGCAGCCCGGTGACAATGAGGTTGGGATCTGTCCACCTTGTGCTATGACTCCCCATACAAGGAAGATCCCCAAAGAGCCCTCACCCCCTTGATTCTGTCTGCGCCGTACAGCTCTGGTCCCTGTGCCTTTGAAGGAAGGGCCCAAGGCCAGGTGAGCCAGTGAAACTGACTGCTTTGTTCCAGGATCTCTGTGCCCACTCTTCTCATGAGACACTTCATCAGCTGTGGCAGATCATCTCTGCCACTTCTCCCAAGAGGTGGAATCTTCTTTACCTTCTTTTGAAACTGGGTTGGTCTTGTGACTTGCTTTAGCCAATAAAATGTGGTAGAAGTGACCTGTCCCGATCTGGGACTTGAAGAGATATGGCTACTTTTGCTCTGGGGATGCCAGCCTCCAGGTAAAAAATGTGACCGCCTAAGGCTGCCATACTGTGAGGAAGTCCAAGCTTTCCTGGAGAGAGATGTCCCACCGAACCCCAGCTGCTCCAGCCATGCCAGCCCAGGCACCCAGCACGTGAGTGAAAAAGCCCAACGTGCACATCCCTGCCCCAGCACGTGCCACACAGAGAAAAACTGAGGAACCGAACAGACAGCCAGAAGCACAGCCCCAGATAGACGGCCCCACTGAGCCATGCCAGCCCTCTCTAGCCCTGCGGAGCGCTCCACCACTGCAGAGCAGGACAAGCCATTTCCACTGTGCCTGAATTCTTGGCCCATAAAATCATGAGCATATGCAAATGGTTGTTTTACACCACTAGGTTTTGGGCTCATTTGTTATGCAGCAGTAGGCAACTGAAACACTGTCCTCCAATGAAGATAGCTTCTGAGCCCATCAGTGGTGAGAGTGGATCCGTGCAAAGCCCCCACGTCCCCATGTGCCTCCGTGTCAAGGCACAGGCACCCAGGGAGAGGGCCAGCTGTACACAGGGGCTTCCTGAGAGGGAGGGAAGGCTGGCAGCTCATGTGGGGCTCACTTCCTGGACCGGGACCTTGAACGCTGGGCTGACAGAGCTGGTCGGCGCTCGAGGAGACCCTGCCACAAACCAACGGCCAAGCTGCGGCCAGGCCCAACTCTCTTAACCCTCCGTCCCCTGTTCTGGCCGAGAAGACAGCAGCGGAGCCTCTACTTGATTCGTCTCCTTGTCCTCTGGGCTCAGGACCAGGCCCCCCTGTCCTGTAGCCCGGACATACCTGAAGTCCTTGCCATTGAAAAAGTCCCAGGCGGAGGCGTGGCACACCACCTCCCGCCCGTCGGCCGGCTTCTCCAGCATAGACTTGCTCCAGAACTCGGGGGGCACGGGCAGCAGCCCCAGGGAGGTGAAGAAATTGTCTGCTTCCTTAAACATCCTTTGGGGTGTCCAGCCCTGCAAGCAGAAGGAGCTCTGCCGAAGCTGGGGATCATGGGGATGGACTGTGTGCCGTAGTGGGAGGGCCCTGGGACAGGGCCAAGCTGGGAGTCCTGAATCAGAGGGCCCTCTCCCACCTGGGCAGGGTCCCCCTCCCCTGTGCCCTGGAGGAGCAGGGGTGCAAGGAGGGGGTCGGTGCGGACCTGCTTTATCATGGCCTCTGTGGCATCCATCCTGGGGGCTGAAGGGAAGGGTACTACCAAGTCATAGATGTTGGACCAGCTCTGTGCCCACATGTTCCCTGGAGGCGGGCAGAGGAAGAGATGGCAGAGAGAGGAGAGACAGGTGTTAGATCTTAGGCTCATCACCTTCACGCAGGGGGAGGGAACACTGATCATAATCTGACCAGCCACTGCTCTGTCCCCTCCATGTCGCCTGAGGTCAGTTTACGAGGTCAGCTGGCAAGAACCACCCTCCTTTTGGAGAGGTTGATGCCTCTGCATTTACCTCAAGACAAGAGTGGAGATAAGGAAGCTATTCAGAATGAGTGGAAAGGTGCAGAAATACATTTGGAGAGGCTTTGACAGCACAAGAGTGGAGATAAGGAAGCTATTCAGAACGAGTGGAAAGGTGCAGAAATACATTTGGAGAGGCTTTGACAGCCAAAGGGGACTAAGCCTGAGCTGACATCAAGTGGAGCCTACAGTGCAAACCAGTGAGAGAGTGAGTGAGAAGCAAGAATGGGAGGGGGGAGCGAGCCTGGGCCTGGCTGCTCTGCTCGTCTTGGGGGCTCAGCTCTAAGCCCCAGCTCCCAGGGCCAGCCGGGCACCTGTGTTCCCTCCCGGGGTCTGTGTTTCTCCGCCATGGAGCTGATATTCTCTGGTCTCACTACAGAGGGACCAAAAATGGCTGGTCTCTTGGGCTGCAAAGACCCTCTAGGCTGAGCAGAGCTAGACCCAAAGCTGGACGGGGGTGGTCTCCCTCTGATTTGTAAATGGTCCATGGCCCCGCCTGGCCTCTCTGTTCACAGTAAGAAGCCCCCAGAAACATGTTCCCGATGGCCCGACAGAGACAGGAACCCAGTAGCCTCTACTTTGCCCCAGTCCCTCCCAGCCCTTATTGTCTTCCACTGCCTACTTCATGTGTTCAGGGCATTTGAGTTTACAACCCCTGGAGAATGAGGCCCCCAAGGTTGAGGAGGGTCTACACAGCTCCCTTTGCCTGAATGTCGTGTCTGCCTTTCGCTCCCCACGACTACTTTCTCCATCTGTCAGAACCTCTCATCTTTCAGGGCTCTGCTCACGTGCCACCTCCTGGGGAGGCCTTCTCAGCTCCCACTCACGGCCCCCTCCTCTCCCTCATGCTGCCTGGAGCTGCGACGGGTGACGTGGTCCCCCCATGACAGGCCTATGAACTCCGCCCACTGCCCCATCCCTGATGACCTGTGTAACGTGGATCTGTAGCAAACGTGGCACCAAATGCAGGGAGGGGGCTCTTCTCCCCACCCCCAGCCCCGACCCCACTCCAGCCCTGGAAACATTCCCCAGCCTCAGGTGTCATCTGCAGACCCTTCCCAGTCTGCCCTCTGCCCTCTGGCCAGCCCTGGGCCGCCCCCTCCCTCATACTGTTGACCGTCTCACTTGCCCTCACCCAGCAGGTGGGCTGGGATGGGGCCCTCCAGGTTGATGAGCTCGGACCCGTAGAAGCGATACAGGGCCCGGCGCACGTAGGCGTGCAGGTTCAGGTAGAGCGGCTGCAACTCCTGGAAGAGCTGCTCCAGGTCATACTCCAGGAATGGCATCTCGTACATAGATCTCCAGGAGTCCCCTCCGTCCTCGTAGCCTGCAGAGGGGACACAGCCAGGTTCTCTGAACATCTGACCATCCCCTGAGCACCCTGCCTCCTTCCCCCCTCACCTCTTGGGTTTCAGAGGACTTTTCTGAGGGCCTCGTGGGGGGCTGGGACCCGACAGCCAGTGACACTGGCAGAGAGGACTCACCATTGAGCCTGGCAGCCTTGTTGGTGAGCTCCACATATTGGGGGAAATATGGGAGGATGGATCTCCCCACCTTGTCTCGCCAGCCCTTCCATGCCCACAGCAGTTCTCCATAGTTCCGGGATGTGGCCATCAGATTTGTCAGATCTGGGTGGGAGGGGTGGGATGGCTTTAAGCCTCCAGCTCTTGGCTCACCTCCCACATCCTTCAGAGGTGGAATAAAACTGGAAAGGGACTGCACAGGCAGCAAGTCGAGGGAAACTGGGGACAGGCTGGTGCCCTTTCCATGGGGCTTACAGGGCTCCAGGCCTGGGGCTCAGCGCTTCCCGTACACAATCTCAGGCAACTGCGGGGCTGCAACAGCCCTGTGAGGGATGCCCTTGACCCTCTTTCCACACAAGCGGTTTGGTGACACGGCTGCGTTCCCCAGCCAGCAAGTGGCTGAGCTGGGGCACAAACCAAGGGCCCAGACCCCAGAGCCGCTGCTCCCAACTCGTTCCCTGCCCACCACCTCCCTGGCAGAAATGGCTTGGAGGTCAAAAGACCCGAGTTCTTGTTCGGTGTCCTCCTGACCTCGAAATCACCTTGGGTGAGTCACGGGACCCCTCCTTCCCTGATTATGAAATGGGGATTATGCCGGCCCAGGGGCAGGAGGCCCCTGGGCAGGGACGGTGCCTCCTTCATCTCCAGTCCCCACGGGGCCCAGGGCATCTTTCCCACATTGTGACTGAACTAATTAATAAAAGAACATCTGTGAAGGCAAAGTACAGAGATCCATTCAAGCATCATCAGGGAGCCAGAAATCTTGCGTTTGTGTCCTGTCAAAGCCATGACTATATGAGTGGCCTCCTGGCTTATGGATTACACAGAGCTCACATCTACCTCACAGAGCTGGGATGAGGATGGTGTGAGCTCACGTGTCAGTTCTGAAGGTGGCTCCCCTTCCTGCCCGGCCTGGCCTGAGACGGAGGCCTGCGGGCATCCACACCTCAAGGACTTGTGCTCTATCATGAAACATGCTATGTGCTATCTACTCTACATAGAGAAAGTACATTCAAGGTAATTTTATTTGGGGAAAAAAACATATCTTGAGAATTTTGTCCTCTGCTGATGTGAGTGTTCTGTTTTTGGGGGTGCTTCTTATTCTTACCACTGGCAGTGACCTGATGCCCTGGATAAAGGGGCTGACCGATGGGGGGGTGAAGGCCATACTCCCTTTAATGCTCTTCTCCATAAATGCACACAAATGCGCATCCCCTTCCCCCCACTTTGCGTGCCTGCCCACATACACAACCCTCAGGCCAAACCCTGTCCCAGGAAGACTGTTTATTTTCCATTTCCCCTTCTATTCATCATTGTTCTAATGTGGGAGTTGGGCGGAGGGCCAGGAAGAGACTGTTTCTGGGTGGAGATTCCTCAGGAAAAATGTTTATGCCTCTGGCTCCTCGACCCTGGGAAGCATGGGTCAGAGAGGGGAGGGGGTGTATCTGCGCGCAGGTACTGGGGTGTCGGGGCTGAGCTCCTTCAAAGAGGAGAAGGTAAGAAGGACCAGCCAGTCTCCTGCGAGAGAAAGAGGACACGCCAGAGCTGGCCCACTCCTTCCAGTGACAAGTGGCGGCAGAGGGAGTGAAGTGGGAATGGTGTGGACGTGGTTTCTGCGGGCTGAGGCTTCAATTTCTGGGTGGAGGAGGCAGCCAGGGAAGGGCCAGGGAGGATGGGGAAGGTGGATCGGATCAAGGGAAGAGCACAGAGGGGAGATGCCTAGAGTTACTCTCCCTGCTGGGGAGTCCAAGCCCCTGAGAGATGAATTTGAGATACACCTGCTCTGAAGGGTGGAGTGGAGGGAGGAACAGAGGGGACCCAGCGGGAGCGGATGGGCGGAGCCAAGGGCAGGGCAGGGGACCAGGGCAGCGATGAAGGAGGCCTTGGTTCTAAGCAGTGGCAGAGGAGCACACCGGTGGGAGACAGGGAAGTCAGTCTCCCGGTCGTGTGGACCCCATGAGTCAGAAGTGAGCTCCGCCCTTTCACGGCCAGCACCCCTAACCTCCCCAGGCCTCCCTCTCACTCCCCACGTGTGCTCACCGGGCTCGAGCTGTAGACAAGTGCCATTGCTATGGCACACAGAGGCCACGCTGTAAGTGGTCTCCATGTCCAGCAGGATCTGGTTGTACTGCAGGGGGAAGAAGAGAGGCAGCGAGCCTGAGCCCTGGGCTCCCTGCTCCGGCCCCGGCACCATCGTGGACCTGGGCTCTGCAGCTGGGGCGGGTGCTCCCAGAGCTCTGCCTTCTCAGGAAGTCTGTAGGTGTGTGTTGACGTGCCAGGTGTCACGACACGGCAAATCGCGGAAGGGGAAGCAGCATGAAGGCCAGACACTGTCCCCCGAGCTAGGGCCCTCCCCAGACCCTGGATCCTCCGCCCGCTGCTCCCCGCGAGGCACACACCTGCTCCAGCTCCCTGACAGGCAGCGCCGCCCGCTCTAGATCCTGAATCTTCTTTATCATCCGCTTCATAGTGGCGTTCTGGAAGTTGGCCACGTCAAACTTCCTGGCCCAGGTGCCGTACTTGACAGTGTGGTTTGCCATCTGTACGTTCTTCTCCAGCTGAAGGCGTGGGGGAACCGTATCATGAGGCCCCAGGAGCTCTAGAAAGGCCTCCTGGGAGGAGGCGCCTTGAGGGGAGCCAAAGGGACTGAGGGTGTCAGGGTGGGGCCGGTTTTACCAAGTGGCTGCCTTTGCCTATAAAGACCCTCTTCAACCTGGACTGTCTATAACATCCTGTGTGCAGTACCTGCCCCTCAACAGATGGCCATTTCGAGCAAGACATCTGATGGCAGCGGCAGAGAAGGAAACCCCACCCCGTGTCCTAAAGGCTGTTAGGATAGATGCAGCCTGGTATTTGCTCTGCGGCCTCTCTGAGCCTCAGGGTCCCAGCTGTAAAATGCGAATAAGGTCACTGGTTTTGCAAGGCTGTTGAGGAATAAATGAGGCAACAGATGTCAAGTGCCAAGGAACAGTGGCCAGCACACAGTGGGTCTTCAAGAAATGTTAGTCCTCTGCAGCTCACCTTGGTTATAGTCAGCGCTCAGCCACACAGGCGGGGAGGGGGGTTGGAGGGGACGCATGGCCCTCTCAATGGTGGCAAACGGGAGCTTTCAATCTTTTTAAAAACTGACTTTAGCATCACTTATTTCTCTACAAATTATTCTGTTACCAACAACGGATTGATTGTTAATGATAAGACAACTTGTTTAGGCACTGGGTGTGTGCCTGAAATTGGACGCTTTTCAATATGCCACTGGGATTCTTCACAAATTCTGACAGCCTGTTCCCACTGAGGTGACGTCGGGGGCGGAAGGGCGGCCTGCAGTGCCTTGGGTTTCAGAGGGTGGCCCCCGGGGGAGGAGCAGACGTGTGCTGAGTCTGTGCACGAGCTCCGGTGGGGGAAAGGGGGCGTGCAGGGGCCCCTACCAGTATCTCGCTGCCCTCCTTGGTGATGTTGGTATTGTAATCCCAGCTGGCCTCGGCATACTCGTTCCACACCACCTGGGATCTCCGGTCATATTCCTCCACAAACCTGCTGGCCTCAGCCTCGTCGGACACCAGGTCTGTGGGACAGAGCAGAGAGACATAGACAGGACTCCCCTTGCCCTTCCACTGCTGCCCCGGCCTCCCCGCCCCGGCCCCCAGCTGGTCCCACTTGGGCTCTGGGTTTTCGGGCTGCTGGTTGTTGAGTGGCGGGTAGTCGTCTGGCTGCTGGCTGTTGCCTGGCTGGCTGTTCCCTGGCTGACTGACACCTGGCCGGTGGTCCCCTGGCCAGGGGCCAGCAGGGGGCGCCCACAGCAGAGCAGGAGGAGGAGGAGGAGGCGGGACAGTCCTGGAGCAGCCCAACCTTGGCCCATGGCAGCAGGAGAGCAGAGTCCTGCCTCCCCTGCCCCCTGGCCTATAAGAGCAGAGCCTGCAGTGTGACCTCATAGAGCAGTGTGCCTGCCAGCCAACCCCCGGCCGGGGCCTCAGATCTGGGCATACCCTCCCCAGGATGCTGGGAAAGATGTGCCCACCCCACCCCAGGGCCCTGCCAACCAGCTCAGGGGGCTGCCTGGCCCTCCAGGCAGGGCGCCAGGGCCCGGTTGGGAGAAGCTGATGGGGAACCGTGAACCGGGGGCCTGGTCCCGAGCCTGGAACTGAGAGCCTGCAGTAGCGCCCCGCCCCAGGCTCCCTCGGGCTTTACCAATGCCCTCTGGGTAACTGTCGGGCATCGGTGGGCGCCACTGATATTCTGGCCAGCCCAGCACCTCGCCATTCTGCTGGTTCTGCTCTTGTAGCCACTGTGTGACCGGCTGGAAGTAGGTGAGCAGCGGCTGAGCATCCAGGGAATCTGAGCCGACCATGTCCTTCAGCACCTCCTGCCAGGGCCGCGAGGAGCCTGCCTGCAGCAATGCCCTGTCGGGCAGAGCGGGCACAGTGGGCACAGGGCTCTCGAGCCAGGGGCCGCTACCACTGCCCTGGCCCACCTGCCCCATCTCTGGCCACTTCTGCCCCCACTGGATGGCAAGAACGGCAGCATTAAGACTCAGGGCCTAGGAGCTCTGTGAAGGGGGGGGGACGTATGTTTTGCCCCGCGCCAGCCAAGAGGCCCACTCGATAAACATTCGACGAGAGAAAGAAAGGGTGGGGGAGGGGGAGGGGAGAAAGGCCCCCTCACCGGCATGCCCTTCACCGGTCACCCCCTTCACTTCCCACTGCCCTCCCTGTGCCCCACACACCGGAGCTTGGCCCCTGCCTGGGTGGACTGGTAGATGTCACACTGGTGCAGGGGGCCCTGGTGGCCCGCCTCCTTGCACAGGGCTTGGTGGAACTGGAACTGCAGGACGAAGCTCACAAAGTACCTGCAGGCACAGGGTGGGCATGAGGGGGATGGTGGAGGCCCCTTGCCCAGGTCCCAGCCAGCTTCCACCGTGCAGAGGCCAGACCAGGGGCTGCCTGGGGGAGAAGGGAGAGCCGAGCTTGGCTCAGGAGAGAGGCCCCCTCAAATTCCAGGCCGTTGAGGGGTCCAGAAGGGTGTGGGAACAAGCCCTGGGAATGGGGGTCCCAGAGTAGGGGGAAGGGGACTAAAGGTGTGCTGGAAATGGGGGCAATAGTACCTGATGTATGGTGTCACATTTGGGACATGAAACTTGGCTCCAGCGTCAAAGTGGGTTTCATTTCGGACAACTGGAGGACAGATCCCCTGATACTTGGTTCTGGAAGAGGATGTGGTTAAATTGTCTTAGGACCCAAGGGTTGTACACAGGCTGATTTTACCTTTGCAGAAAAGTCTGCTAAGCAGACATTCCCATGGGCCATCCCTTCCCCATCCTGGCGAACCAGGAGAGACTGCCTGACAGAGGAAGTTTTAGGCAGGAAAGAATGCCTTGCGGAAGAGGATGGAGGCATCATTAGAGAGGAGGGAGGCAAGAGGCAGGTTGCCCGGGAGCTGGGGGAGGGCCATTTGGGATTAGGCCCTTCCTGGTCCCACTTTGCTCACCTAAGATACCACCAGTCATAGTTGTAGAGGGAAGGGGGGGTACGCCCACTAAAGACCCCCCAACGCCACTGGTCCACCAAGTAGCCAAAGGGCAGGAAGGCAATTTTTTCCAGTGCCATCTTTAACAAGTAATTGATGTCGGTTTCTGTCGGGAGATGAGATGAAAAGAGAGAGGTCAGAGGGAGAGGGGAGCCCAGCTGGGACAGGGTGGGCCTGGGGAGAAGCCAGCAGGAGGTGAGGCTGGGCAGACGCAGAGAAGGGAGCGCCAGCCTTTGGGACCCTGGGGCCCCGCTTGGAAGAGGGAGCTTGGGCAGTGGAGTTGGGACCCAGGGTGGGCTGTGAGGCTCTGGGTGGATCCCCAAACCTGCCTGACGTGGGGCAGTGAGGCAGAAACAAGAAGGGCAGAGGGGAGCGGGGACAAGTGCGGGCCTGCTGTGGGATCCAGCGGGGTCTGGGGGGCGCGGCTGCGCTGGGCTCTCTCCACCCACCCCCATACCCGTGTCGTTGGTGACATGGTCCAGCAGGCCAATTTTGTACAGATGTGCAGGAGTGGAGACGGAGAGCGCCAGCACATCCCCGATGGCCTCGTGGAAGCCGGGGTTGGCGCCTTGGCGCAGGGAGACGTGTTGGTCCTTGTACTGTAGGTAGTACTGCACGTGGCCCATCTCGTGGTGCACCGTGGACAGCTGGTCCATAGTGACCTGTGTGCACTGCTTGATCCTGGGGCGGGGAGAGGGCGTGGGTGAGGGTGAAGGATGGGCGGGGCAGGGACCAGAGAACGGTGGGGCTGGCGCCTGAGGGAAAGGAGCCAGGCGGGCACTGCCCTGGGGCCCGAAGGAGCTGGCGGAAACAGGCAAACACTTTCCCCTGCCCCAGCCCACACTCTGGCCTTTTCCCTCCGTTCCAAGGTACAGAGCTGACTGCCTGCCAAAGCTGCCCAGGGAAGGGACCCCGCCCCCAGCCAGTGCTGGGGCTGGGTTAGAGGCAGGTCTGGGAACTGGCTTCTCTGTGCCCAGGCTGCCTGCCCTTTGGGAGCCCCAGAACCCTCCTCCCGAATCAAGACCTGAAGTCTTTCCTGTTGTAGAAATCCCAGGCGGAGGCGTGGCATACCACCTCACGCCCGTCGCTTGGCTTCTCCAGCATGGACTCTGCCCAGAACTCAGGAGGCATGGGCAAGAGCCCTAGGGAGGTGAAGAACTCCTCTGCCACCCGGAACATGTGTGTAGCGTTCCATCCCTGGTAGGGGTGTTCGCACGGGTCAGGGGCCAGCCTCTGGAGCCCACCATGGCTGCCCCAGGGGCACGTCTGTGGTCCCCCACCCAGCTCAGCTCCCTGCTCATGAAGAGCACCTCTGCTCCGTGGCCTCCCTTCCCAGATGTCCGGCCCCTGCTGGCTAGAGTGGATGGGCCGATGCTCACAACCCCCACCCCCGAGGGGCCCCGGAAGGAGGGACTGGCAGCTCAGCGAGGACGAGGACACCGACCCCAGCTCATGGCTTGGACACACACTCCAGGCTGCTGCTCTGTATAAAGGGAGGGACTGAGGTCCCTCCCCGTCCCACTCCTCATGTCTGGTTCACTCCTGTGGCCCCCACGCGGCCTGACTTTGAGCTTACCTTCTGCACCATAGTACTGGTAACGTCAAGATTGGGCTTGGCAGAGAAAGGCACCACCATGTCGTAGATTTTGTCCCAGCTCTGGGCCCACATGTCCCCTAGACAGAGGAGGGGAGCCAGACAGCTTGGCTCCCAGTCCAGCCAGTGCCTGCTTCCCCATGTGTGTCACTGAATGGCACCCTGGGCGCCTGGTGTCTGGACCCAGGGTGCTGCAGGGCCACCGTCCTCTCAGCTGGCTCACACATCAGTCCCACCCACACCCCCAAGTGCTCCACGTTCCCTGGGGCTGGCAGAGGCCAAGTGTGAGCCCAGGTGATGCTGCTGGGTCCTTTCTGACGGTGCCAGGGTCCCTGCCTCCCAACCCTGACGCAGGGCCACAGGGCTGGCTTCCTGGGGTGTAAACTGGGCTTATTTTCCCTCCTCCTCTGGACCTGGAGCTAAAGCCTTCAGTGTGACTCCTGGCTCTGCCTTTAAATAGTTTTCTGCCCTCTGCCAAGTCACTCGCGCACCCTAAGCTTCAGGGTCCCCGTCTGAAAAGTAGGAACAGTAGTGACCATGAGAAGGGTCACCTACTTTATGGGCTCACATGCAGGGGATCGAGCAGTGCGGGGCTCTGAAATGTGACACACGATGAGGAGGACCCTGGACAGGTGTGGTGGCAAGGCCAGGTCCTTACCCAGCAGGTGAGCAGGGATGGGTCCCCTGAGGTTGATGAATCTGTCCCCGTATCGGCGGTGCAGTGCGCGGCGGACGTAGGCGTGGAGGTTCAGGTACAGGGGCTCTAACTGATGGTAGAGGTGCTCCAGATCCTCCGTGAAGGTGGGGGAGTCGTACCAGGAGCGCCAGTAGGCCCCCGTGTCTGAGAAGCCTAGCCGGGGGGTGGCGTTGGGGTGCAGCTCAGGCCCCAGGCTCTGGCACCTCCGCCTCCCAGCTACCACCTGGACGTTCTTCCAGCTCAGGGCCAGTGTATCTGCCTGCTAGCTGGAAGGGAGAGCTTGGAGGTTGCTGCTCTACAATCTTCTAACTATGGGTTGCTCCAACTCCAGCTAAACAGATCCTAGAGAGCAGGAGACGCAAAGTTGAGCCCTAGGGCTGGGAGGTGTGCCAGAAGCGCGGCATGAGGGCGATGGGGCTAATGCCCATTCCGCCATCCACTATCTGTGTGACCTGGCACCAGTGTATGGAGTCATTGTAATAGCCAGCCGCTCTGCTTGCCTCAGGGGGCGGGGCTCAGTGGAGACAGAAGATGAGAGGGAGACGCCCACAAAAGGGACAGGGTGGCCATGCTCACCATCCTGCTTGTAGGCCGCATTGCTGAGGGCAGTGAACTTCTGGTACAGGGGTTTCAGCGGGATGCCCACAGCGTTGTGCCAGCCCTCCCAGGCATATAGTAGCAGGGCGTAGCTTCGCGACGCAGCCAGGATGTTGGTGAGCTCTGAGACACAGGTGAGCAGGGTCAGTTCAGAGACTTCTGCGTTGAAGTCAGCAATAGCCTTCACCGGAGCTCCCACACCGGTCCTCATCATCTCCACCTACTTCCTCAGCATCATGATACCCTCAAAGCCAAGGGCAACCTACAAGCTGGACAGGATGGCACTGGGAGCTATACAAAGTAAGTAGCCAGGCAGGGTCCTGGTTCCCAGGAAATGATTATCTAAGGTGGCTGACACAAAGAGGACACCCACAAGTTGAAACCTAGGCAGACCCTTCATGGCTCCTCGGACGGAGTGGCTGACCTCAAGGCTGCCTGGTATGTGGCGGGGGTGGGGGGGCTGTGGGGGGAGAGGAGGAGGTTTGCAAGGGAAGCCATGAGGGGTCTAAGGCCTGTGGAGGGCTCTTGCGGGGAATGAGAGGACCCATGAAAGGGAAAACCAGGCAGCCAGGAGGAAAGCCGGTTGTGATGGGAGAGGAAAAAGCACACATGCAGGTGGGGGTGGAGCGGGGGCTGGAGATTCCAGAAATCAGTTTGCCTGGAGGAGCAGGGGTCTGGGGGCATCTGACAGTCCAGTCCCAGTTGGAGGTTAATGCCTTTGGGTTTACCCACTCTCTCTGCAAAAACACGTCATCCTCCTGAGTGCAGCAGGTCAATGGGGAAGGGTAGGAAGTCCCCGAAGACAGAGAGAGTAGACACAGGGCCGTACCTGGGTCCAGGGACCAGCAGGTGGCAGTCTTGTTGGGGAAGCAGACCTTGGCCGTGGAGTAAATCCTGGACATGTTGCTTAGCAGAGAGTTGTACTGGGGAGTTAGAGTTGAGAAAATGCTAGCGATGAACAGCCCTTGCAGGTAATCTGGCCCCCTCTCCTCTTTCCGCTGGGAGGAGATAGGGGAGATGCCTGGAGAGAGGGACGTGGCTAGGGCAAGGCCACACTGTGGCACCCAGAGCACAGCTGAGCATGAATGCACGGATGCCCCTTCCAGTGGAGGCAGCCTGGGAAACTAGTGTCCTGAGAATTAGGGGTCAGGGTTCAGTTCTGAGCCCAGCCACCACCTTGGCAAATCCCTCTCATTCTCTGACCTTGATGCCTTCTCAGCCCTTCCCAATCTTTCTGAGGAAGCCCATAAACCAAACCACCTATGGAGAAAGTTTGAAAACCCCTGTTTCATCCTTTACTCTTTACTTGAATTTTGCTTTCTGCGCCATAAGACTTGCTTCGATAGAATGAACTTCTCTCATTCCAGCTCCAAGAAGAATCGGGACTTCAGGAATCCGTTCCGTGCTTGCGGGGCTTCCCCTACAGTCGGGGCCGGTGGAGATCCCAGGGTCCCTCCCTGCCAGGACCCAGCCCCCCGGGCAATGGGGGCACCTGGGCCACTTCTGCCTCCACCCCTCCACCAGGCCCACCTGCTGCCGCTCCTCCAGGGGCAGGTTGGCGGGGCCCAGGGTGCGCACGGCACTGATGATGCGTCGCAGCGTGGGGTCGGTGAAGTTCTGCCAGATTGGGTCGAACAGAGCCTTGGCCTTCTGGCCCCAGACCTCTGAAAACTCCTGGCTGAGCAGGGCTGCCTCCTCCTGTGGGTACCAGGAGGGCACGAGAGGGTAAATAGGGGAAGCCGTGGCGTGGGGGAGGGGAGGAAGGCCCAGGGCTTCAGGAGACTGGGGCTTGTGGGAGCACGGCTCCCTCCTCCTGGGCCCTCGGGGTGAAGAACTGGGGGAGTCTGCCTCAGGGAGGCGGTGGAGCAGAAACTGGGGCCAGGAGAGGCGGGGGAAGAGAGTGTGAACAGTGATGAGCGGTGACAGGCACAGTGAGGGACGGGTAGGTTGCAGTCGGAGAGGATGAGAACCCAGAGCAGAGAGGGCACCCTCAGCGAAGACTGCCGCGGGCCCAGCCCGTCGTCATCCCCAGGCGCTGCCACCTGGGGGGACTCGGGGTCAGAGGGGCCAGCCTCATCCATTCGGTTCCTTACTGGGCACGAGCATGTGCCCAGCACCGTGCTAGGAAACCGACCGGCTGTCTGCTGGGACGGCGTTGGGGTGGGGGGTTAGCGGGGAGGCCGGCTGGCCCAGGCGGGTCCCCACCGCTCAGGGGCCGGGGGCGCGCGCGGGGCGGTGACTCCCCGCCCCCCAGCGCCCGGCCGCCCGTCTGTGATTGGGCGCCCGGGCCCCGCCCCCGCCCTGGGCCCGCGCGCCCACCTGGCGCCGCGCGTTTTCCTCGTTGATGTCGGTGTCGTGCGCCCAGCTGGCGGCCGTGCTGTGGAACAGCACCTGCTCGGCGCTCGAATTGAAGCTCTCTGCGAAACCCTGTGCCCCGGCCTCGTCGGCGGAAAAGTTCCCCGGCTGCAACGCGGGGTTGAGAGCCAGGACCACAGGCGGCGGTGGCGGCGGCAGCAGCAGCAGCAGCAGCAGCAGCAGCAGCAACGGCAGCAGCAGCGGCCGCGGCCACCGGCGGCCCGACGCGGCCCCCATGGCGCGGTGCGCGGTGCAGCCCCTTCTCCTGCGCCGTGCCAGCCCTGCGGGTTATAAAACCCGACCGCCGCCGTCGCCTTCCGACACACCCTCACCTCCCCGCCCCGCCGCGCTTCCTCCTCGGCTCCAAAGTTACCCGGCCGCTGCGCGGGCCTAACGGAGCGGGGCGGGGACCGAGGCTTCCTGGCCCGCCCCAGGCAGGGGCGCCGGCCCGAGGAGGGGCCCAGGCGGCCCCCTGCGAGATGCAGCACGGGGGGGGCGGATGGGCCTTAGGTCAGGTTCTCACAAGGGAGGCTAGAAAGAAGCCCCCTAACGCGCACACACACCTCTGAAGCTGAGGGACCCAGCACTTTGCTGGAACACCCCAGCCTGCCAGCGTGCCCTCCCCTTCCATCCCACAGCCTCGGTGCAGGGACCCGGGGCCCAGCGGTCTCTGACGCTCAATCTCCCGGCCTCGCCGCCCCAGGGCTCTCTGGACTCGGGAGTGACAAAGTGGGGGAGCTGTCCGCAGTGCCGCTAGTACTGCCGGATAGGGTTAAGGATGGTCCCCCGGTCCAGATTCTTCACGAGGCCCTGGGGGGAGAGGGTGTGGCCTGCGCGGGTAGGGGAGAGTTCCGCAGGCGCCTGGGGCGGTGCTCAGAGCCCCCGGCTCACCTGCGGACTGGGGAAGGGGGGCTGTCAGAAGGGGGGGGAGAATGGAGGGGCTGTTCTGGGAGGAGGGGGCGGGTAATAGAGCCACAGGAGCACTGGCACACCTGCTTTCTTCACACGAGCTGTCATTCGCTCCGGCAGAAACAGTCACAGACTTGCCGACTTTGAGAGCTAGCTACAAAGATGAGCGCAGAGATGACAGCAACCTCTCCTTCAGCAGGGGAAGACATTAAGACTCAGGTTGAATGGCTTGCTCCAAGTCACTCCAGGTCTCCACACTCCCCATCAGTCTTTCCCTGTCTCACCACGTGTTCCTTCAAGTGACAAGCACGGGGGAGGAAGGAGAGCGGCGTCCTCTTGAGGCGGCTGGGGAGGCTGAGGGCTCGCCCCTAACTCCTCAGCATCATGGTGTCTGTCCCCAGAGGCGGGAGGACCTACCCCAGCAGACAGGGGTGGGCAGGGCGACGGAAGAAGCACAGGCTGGGCAGAGGGAGCAGGGAAGGAGTCAGTGACAGCTGCTCAGGAGACCCAACCCGTCCGGAGCTTGGGTACCGTGGGAATCACCTGGGCTCCTGGGTATCTGCGTGTGGGATGGCGCCTGGGGCTCTGAGGGACACGTGGGCTCGCTGTGCCCTCTGGAGTGTGTGCAGGAGGCTGTGTGGCCCGAGGCCGTGCTGAGCTGCCAGGTGACATGGTGCCAGGGTGGTGTGTGGAGGGGAGGGGGGGCAGGGCATCGTCAGTGCTGTTGTTCAGCCGCGTCGGGAAAGGCGGGAGGGGAGGAAGAGGAGTCCTGGGCCCCTGGCTTTCCTTCACTCCAGCTGGCGCTTCAGGGCTGGCGAAGTGGACACCTGTGATCAGGGCAGCCCCGTCGAGGGCAGGGGACCGGCTAAGGGCGACGCAGTGAGCCTGGCCTCTCTTCCTCAGAACTCACCAGCTCTCGAGTGGCTCTAACAACTATGTTCTCCAGGCTTTGAGGGCAATGGGCCGTGTGTGCACAGTGAGCTGCTGTCTGCTGGGAGGGAGCAGTCCCTCCACCAGCTAAGGCATCGGTTGGGGGGGGGGGTTGTGAGGGGCACCTCTTCAGGCCCCAAAGAAGGGGTCCTGGGGCAGAAG